AGGCACCACTTCTCTGTCCATCCTGAGGCCGAGTCCCACATACAGCAACTAGAAGGGTGTGCAGCTATGACATACAACTATCTACTGGGGCTTTGGGGGCAACGAATAAAATAAATAAAATCTTTAAAAAAAAAAAAAAAAAGACAAGAAATGATAAGTGTTGGCTGGGATGTGGAGAAAAGGGAACCCTTGTGCACCATTGGTGGGAATGTAAAGTACAGCCACTATGAAAAACCATATGAAGATTCCTCAGAAAATTAAAAACAGAACTGCCATATGATCCCACTTCTGGGCATATAGCTAAAGGAAATGAAAATAGGATATGGAAGAGAGAAATATCTGCACTCTCATGTTCACTGCAGCATTATCCACAACAGCCAAGATACGGAAACAACCTAAGCGTCTGTCAACAGATGAATGGATAAAGATGTGGTATATATGTAACGGACTATTATTCAGCCATGAGAATGAAGGAAATCCTGCCATTTGCAATATGGATGAAATTTGAGGGCATTATTCTAACTGAAAGAAGCCAGACAGAGAAAGATAAATACCGTATAACATCACTTATATGTGAAACTATAAAAGCCAGACTCATAGAAACAGAGAGTAGAGCGGTGGTTACCAGGGGCTAGGGATGGAGAAATGGGGAGGTTTTGGTCAAACAATACAAACTTCCAGTTGTAAGATGATTAAGTGCTGGGGATCTAATGTACAGCATGGTCATTATAGTTAATAATACCGTATTATATACTTAAAAGTTGCTAAGAGAGTAGATCTTAAATGTTCTCACCACAAAAAAGAAACGGTAACTATGTGATGTGATGGAGGTGTTAGCTAACACCATGGTGGTAATCATATGGTAATATGTAAGTGTATCAAATCAACACATTGTATGCCTTAAATTTACACAATATGTCAATTATATCTCAATAAAGCCAAGGGGGAAAAAAGGAAAGAAACTACCAGAGGGAAAATTTTGGAAATAGATACTGGTGATGGTTGTACAACATTGTGAATGTACTTAACACCACTGAACTGTATACTTAAATGATTAAAATGGCAAAATTTTATGCTATGTATATTCACCACAATACAAAAAAGATATGGGGCAGGCCCGGTGGTGCAAGTGGTTAAGTGCGTGCACTTCGCTGCAGTGGCCCAGGGTTCGCCAGTTGGGATCCCGGGCATGCACTGATGCACCGCTTGGCAAGCCATGCTGTGGCAGCATCCCATATGAAGTGGAGGAAGATGGGCACGGATGTTAGCCCAGGGCCAGTCTTCCTCAGCAAAAAGAAGAGGATTGGCAGATGTTAGCTCAGGGCTGATCTTCCTCACACACACAAAAAAAGATATGAAAAAAATACTTAGGAATAAATTTTTTAAAGTGCAAGACCTGTACAATGAAAACTACAAAACATCGCTGAAAGAAATTAGAGAAGAATTAAATAAATGGAAAGACATCCCATGTACATAGACTGGAAGACTTAATTATTGTTAAGATGGCAATACTGCCCAAATTGATCTACAGATTCAATGTAATCCCTATCAAAATCCCAGCTGCCTTCTTTGCAGGAAGTGACAAGCTGATCCTAAAATTCATATGGAAATGTAAAGGACCCAAAATAGTTAAAACAATCCTGAAAAAGAAGAACAAATCGGGACTCACTTTGGATTTCAAAACTTACTACAAAGCTACAGTAATCAAGATTTTATGGTACTGACATAAGGATAGACACATAGATCAATGGAACAGAATTGAAAGTCCAGAATTAAACCTTCACATTTATGATCAAATGATCTTTGACAAGGGTGCCAAGAACATTAAATGGTGAAAGAATACTCTCTTCAAGAAATAGTGCTCAGACAACTGGATATTCACATGGAAAAGGATGAATTTGGACCCCTATCTCGTATCATATACAAAAATCAACTCAAAATGGATCAATGTAAGAGCTAAAACTATAAAATTTTAGAAGAAAACATAGGTGTAAATCAATAAGAACAATAATAAAACAGCTTGTTTATTGAGCATCTACTTTATGCTGATCACCTTATCAGCCTCTTTACATGTAATCTCACTTTTAAGGGTGATGCACCCCATTTCACCCTTTCCCACTACTTCTGTTTCCCACTCACCTAAGCCTAAAGCCCTAAGCCTATCTTAAAAATATGGCTTAAACGAGTAAATAGCTTCGAATGTTTACATCTAAATTTAAAGTTGCACATATGAATGTCGCTATATCATCTCCATTTTTTACTGTTTTTTTCAAGTCTTCAAAGTTGGACATGACATAAAAGGGAAAGGTGAGTGACAAGGTACAAAATGGTACATCAGTCATTCATTTCTTTACATTATTATTTTCTATTCCATTAATGTCAAGTTCAAATTTTTTTTAAATGAAGAGATTATTTTAATCAGAGAAGGAGAAAAAATGCTATTTAAAACATGCTGAGGGGCCGGCCCCCTGGCGTAGTGGTTAAGTGCGTGCGCTCCGCTGCTGGCGGCCCAGGTTCGGATCCCAGGCGTGCACCAATGCACCACTTGTCAGGCCATGCTGTGGCGGCGTCCCATATAAAGTGGAGGAAGATGGGCATGGATGTTCGCCTAGGGCCAGTATTCCTCAGCAAAAAAAAAAAAAAAAAAAAAAGAGGATTGGGTGGCATGGATGTTAGCTCAGGGCTGATCTTCCTCACACACATACACAAAAAAAACATGCTGAGAGCAATCCCTTACTACTGGAACCAGGTGTCAGAGAGGATGAATGTTTTTAGCTGCAGGGTTGCCTATTTGGAGATAAAAACAAATAATAGGTGGTGATCAAACAGCCTTCTCTATTCTGAAAGTGTAAAACTGATGCTCTGAAGCTGCAGCATACCACAACAGGGGTTCAGTGGTGAAGTTTTTGTGATTAAATGGTAAATATGTGCAAATTTGAGTGAATCTGCATTTTTCTAGGGACACGGTCCACAGCTCTCTTCAGATGCTCAGATGGACAGCACATTGCAGATCCCCAATTAATATTTGTTAAAAGAAAAAATGAAGGGGATCCACAGCAGCTAAGAGCCAACGCACTACCCAAAACTGCGTCCCTGGTTTCACCTTTCGTCACCTTTGAACTCCAGAATCATTCCAGGAGCATCTTGAGCTTTCTGTTGCAACAACTTTCCATTAATTGTTTTTCTGAGCAAAATATTACACTATACAACAAAGGGTCTTACCAAGATTGGAGAATCCATCCTGAAGGGCCCATAATCGAGCCCAAGGGGCAGGGACAGGCTCCTCGGGTTCTTGGTCCTCGGGAATAGAATAGAGTTCCTGAGTAGACACTGTGTCTAAGGAGCTCACTGTCCCCGAGCTGGAGTGAGAGGACTGGCTGGACGTGGGCGCTGTGCTGGTGGAGGAGCTGGACGTGCCCTGGGACTGTGAAGAGGAGCCTTGTGTCTGTGAGGAGAGGCCAGGGGGCTGCGAGAAGCTGCCTTGGGACTGTGAGCAGGCACCACTGCCCTGAGACTGCTGATGCTCCACATCCTTCTTCTGAGACATCACGACCTCAAGGAAAGTGTCCAACAATAAGGTGAGTTTCAAGGAACAAGACTTAAAGTTCAAGAGTGAAGGATGGGCATACTACAATGGCAAAAAAAAAAAAAATCCAGAGCAAGCATGCTCTGCAAAATTTAAAATTCTAACAGTCTAGACCTATAGTTCTTCTGGACTGAGTTATTCATCACATCACTTTCACCGGATCAGTTTTTTGTCTGACTGTCACAAACCACAGGGAAAAGAAACAAAAAATTATTTGAAGGCTATAAATAACTAAAAAGCAATGAAACTGAGTTGGGGAGAGGGAGAGACTTGTAACAGCTTACATTCACCCAATTTTAAAAAATTAGAAATGAAATTTAAAACATAGTCATTAATACAATCAACACTACACTTAAATTTCCTATATGTTTTGGAAAGGGAAAGAAGGGGATGGGTCAGGTGGCCTGGGGTGGAAGATGGGCAACAAGAAACTGTACTCTAACTCCCTGTGACACTCTAGGGGTGGCCATTTACATAAAATGTCACTGATGCCCCTTCTCCCCCAAGCCAGTTCCTGGAGGGTAGGACTCCTGTCCCGTTGTTCATTGTAGATTCCTTGACTCCTACCTAAGAGCAGAGCCACTTAAGGAGGCAGAATACAAAGAAGACTGCTCTAAACAACTCCACCTAGCCCTTTGTGATGCTAAGTAATTACGGGGCTCAACTTATCAACATCCTAACTGGCCTCACAGCATGACAGAATCCTGCAGAAACCATTCTTTGAGTCCCAGGAGACTGTAACACAGGTAGGTTCCCACCCTTGCTTTAGAATTCATTTGATGGACAGTTCAACTCTGATAACAGAATTTAGAGTCAAGTCACCTTCAATCCCTAACTTTAAATCCCTAATCTGATGTAAGGAAAAAAAGGTGCATTTCCTCCAGATCCCCACACTCACACTACTCAAGGAGAACATAGTAAACATTACTCACACTGATTGCATTTACACAGCTTTGCAGATACAAAGGTCCTGATGAGTTTTCCTTAAAGCACACCAGGAAGGTGATGCCAGAGCTGAGTCTGCTACTCCGGGACCTGCTGCTCTACTACCTAAGCCGGCTGTGTCCTTCTGCAGCTTTTCGAGCAAGATTTCTCCGCCCTGAAAACCGGTAGACAGTGTGTCAAATGGTAGCTGCTATCATCGCTTATGATAAATAAGGGTCCACGGGACCGGGACCACGCTGGCCTCAGCCATGAGGAGGATGTATAATGGAGTGGTTAGAGGCAAACAAGTCTGGAGTCAGATGCCTGAGTCAAATCTTTGCATGACCTTTAGGTAGATCACAACCTTTCTGTGCCCATTTCCTTATCTGAAAAAAGTAGATAGATCTGGAGGATTAACTGAAATGATGCATGAAAGCTCCTTCCCCAGTAACGCTTGATAATTGAGAGAAGAGAATTCCAGTCCCAAAGAATCCGACAGCCGGAAAAGCCCTTACAAGTGCAACACAATTTTTTTTTTTCAAATAGAGAAACTCAGTCCCAAGGAGGATTGGTGCTCTCCTACCCGTTCCCCGCCACCCCATCCCACACACTTACTCATGGACATTCGCAGGGCATCCTCCTACATCCTCAGTGTGTTTCCAGTTCCTGCAGCGCCTAGCAGCTAAGAGTGGGTTCTTAATAGGTTATTTTCGAGATTGATCCTAAAGTATGGTAAGAATTACTAACATTTATAGAACTCTCTACAAAGCAACTTCGCTCTGATTTTGAAGAGCACAACTTTATTCCTTATTATCCTGTATGTTCGGGCCAGTTTCAGCTTGCAAGTAACAGGGGAAGTGAACTTCACCTCGAGGTTGATCTACAAAGAAGGAAGAGAGTCGCCACGCATTCCTCTCCCCACCGCCCGACCTCAAAACCCGAACAAAGCGGAAGCTCGGGACATTCAGCTCGCATTAAGACCCTGAGGACGGGATTCGAATCCCCAAACACCCAAGAGAAGTTCCCCACTATGACTCACCGCGTGAGCCCACCTGGAGTCGCACACTCGCAGCAGCCGCAGCCACCCGAGTGGCGCTAAACGAGCAGATACGAACTCCACCCTCAGCCAATCAAAACACCCCTCCGCCGCCGCCGGACCAATGAGGAGCAGCGGATGTGACCGTCCGCGCGGAGCCTAAAGGCTTGCTGGGAGTTGTAGTTTAAAACGCAGAGCGGGACTCAGAATCCAGTTTTCCCCTGGGTGATCCCGCCCCCTCAGCTCCCCAGCCAATCAACATCATTAGTCTAGTCGGCCGCTCTTTCCCCTTTTCCCCCCACGGGTGACCGCGGCGAGATAGGCCGCGAGCCAGATGTGGGGCGGGAGGGCAGGGGCCTTGCTCCGGGTGTGGGGGTGGTGGCCAGCAGGGGTTCTCGGAAGGAGACCGCTGGGCTGCAATGCTGCATCGCTGGCGGGAAGCAACTCCCCCAGGTGTTGGAACTGCGGCGGCCCAGGGGGCCCCATGCGGGGGGACGGGTTCTTCTGTCCGCAGTGCCGCGCGCTGCAGCCACCTGACCCCTCTCGAGACTACTTCAGCCTCATGGACTGGTACGGGAGGCGGTTTCGGGAAACGCGCAAGGGCGAGAGGGATGTCGGGGGCTGGCGTGCGAGAGGGGAGGGCTGATCAGGCTCGGCAGGGAGGAGGAATGGGTTAGATAGGTGGGCGGAGCCCTAGAGAGCAGGGGCTGGGGGTGGGGTCTGGGAAAATGGAGGATGGGATGTGTCCTGAGAGGAAATTGAGGGGCGGGCCTGAGGGAAGGAACTTTGCGGGATAGAGACAAGAGTGGAGGCAGGACTGGAGGGGCGGGGAACGAAGTTAGGGGAAATTGAAGGGTGGAAGCTTCAGTGGAGGGAGACTCGAGGGGCGGGACCTGAGAGAAAGAGAAGTTGGGAGGCGGGGCCTGAGGGAAAGGGTCCTGAGCGGCGCGGGAGAAGGGAGATTTGAGGGATAGGGTCAGAATGATTAAAGTTGGGTTGAGACTTTTAAGAAAGCGGTACTGAGGTGTTATCCAAAATAAGGGAGTAAGAGCACAGAAAACCTAATATTGTAGGCGGAGTCTAAGGGAAAAGTGAGAATTGGAGGGAGAGGGTCTGAGAAAGGAGTGGTTATTTCCCATTTTCTTCTGAAGGTTGAGGAGCTTGGAGAGGTGGTAAAGGTGGGCAGAGCTAAACGTGTGAGAGAGGGCAGGCTCTTGGAATAGAAAGTGAAAGGGATTGGATTAAAATATAAGTGGGAGACAGAGATGAAGGGACCTGGGCTTTGGAAAGATAGGGTGGGATTTGGGAATGCCCCTTCCCCTTAGCTCTGGGATCTGCTCCCGCCAGTCACTGAGCACTTATGATGGGCTGCAATAACACTACCCTTTAAGTTCTTCAAGGTACCAAACTTGTTCCCACCTTTGCATGGTCCCTCTGCATGCATGACTCTTTCCTCTGGTCTTTGGTTACTCCTCATCGTTCGGGTCTCAGCTCAAATGTCATCTCTTTGTCAACCACATCTACCACTCTCTCTGACTCTATTCTCTTTTCCCTCAGCACCTACCACTTTTTGAAATTATCTCTGTCTACATTTTATTGCCTCTTCCCCATGAGAACAGGAACCAGGGCCATAGTATACAAATCTATAAATATTTGATGCATGAATTTCTTCTCCCAATTTCCTTCCAGCAACTGCTCCTTCAGAGTTGACACTGCGAAGCTCCAGCAAAGGTACCAGCAACTGCAGCGTCTTGTCCACCCAGATTTCTTCAGCCAGAGGTCTCAGGTAGCCTATTGGCCACTCCTAATGATACCCAAACACATGTGCACACTGGGTGGGTGGCAGTGGCCTTGTGGTTATGTGATAATCAGAGACAGAGCTGGACAACCCGGTCCACCCTGGGGCACGCTGACCCAGGCCGGCCAGGCCCTGGACCTGCCCTGCACTCACAGCTTTTACCCAACTTTCCAGCAGAATTAGAACCCATCAGCTGAAAATAAAGACAGCTCATCCCACCCCGGTTCTACTCTGACCACTTCTTAGGTGCCTGCACCTCGGTATTTTATGAAACAGTTTGTGAATGTAAAATGGCTGATTTGGTTGGTAATAAGACTTTCTTTATCTCCACTAACAGACTGAAAAGGACTTCTCAGAGAAGCATTCAACCCTGGTGAATGATGCCTATAAGACCCTTCTGGCACCCCTGAGCAGGGGACTATACCTTGTAAGGTGATTTCCCATGTGTGACTGCCTGGTGTCCATTATGCTGTGGGACCGCTGCTCCTCTCTGTTCAGCAGAGGAGTGCTTGAGACCTGAGCTAGTCCAGGGACCAAAGATATTTAGCCTCAAAGACGTTATACAAATATAGTTTTCTCTGAGCATTCTCTGTAAATCTTACTTACCCAATTGCATTTTTTAAAACTATTTTCTATAAATTTCAAGGCTTGGATGGTGATAGCTTTTAGGGAAGAGTAATTTGGGAGTATTTTTGGGGGGAGGTGAGCACCTTAGAATTTTAGGATTTAATAGAATCTTTGCAAATATCTATTTCAACCTCCCAAATGGAGGAGTGACTCCCCTGGGGTCACACAGTTCCAGGTAGCAGAGAGGGATCCCATCCCAGCACTCCTGTCTCAGCCCAAGTTTCCAGCACCCTACCCTCACTTTCATTATTAGGACAGTTCAAGTTTTCCCTGTGAATGGTATTCTGTTCTGAAGGGTGAGTAGGATTTATGACTCTGACCATAGTTTCTTGAACCTTATTATTTATAATAAATACAAATAAGTTATATTTATATCTTACATATATATATGACTTATGTTTTCCCTGCTTTGTGCTCCAATAGCTAAAGCTCCATGGAGTACAGATTCCTGAAGGGACAGATTATGAAATGGACAGGCATTTCCTCATGGAAATAATGGAAATGAATGAGAAACTCACAGAAGCTCAAAGTGAAGCTGCCATGAAAGAGATTGAATCTGTTGTCAGAGGTAAAAGATAAAATACCACCAAATTCATTTTATTGCCATTATGAGTACATGTCTGGAGTTAAGTGAAAAATGAATATAAAGAGTACATATTGGTCATCACAATGATTCAGAGAGTAATTTTGTTCTTGGTTATACTGAAACCAATTTTGTCTGGAAGTTAGACTTGCAACATCCCTAAGTCTCTGGAAGTCTGCCTTAAACCAAGAATATAGTAGTGTTTTGCAGATTGCAATCCTCCTTCCTACCCATGACATTAGGATAACATCATTATCTCTGACAAGAAAAATAGGCTTTAGAAGTTCATGGAAATGCCCAAGGTCACATTACAGAGCAAAGATTGAAACCTTGGTCTTCTGATCCCAGATTGCTTTGCTTTCCACTTTTTTCCATAGTGTTTCAGTCAGGGTTCTCCGGAGAAACAGAACCAATAGTGTATGTGTATGTAGGTATATATATATAGAGAGAGAGACAGAGAGAGAAAGAAAAAGTAATTTATTTTAAGGAATTGGCTTACATGATTATGAGGGCTAGCAAGTCCAGAATATGTAGGGCAGACCAGCAGGCTAGAAACTCAGGCAAGATTTCTATGTTAGTCTTGAGGCAGAATTCCTTCTCCAGGAAACAGTTTTTGCTCTTAATGCCTTCAACTGCTTGGGTGAGGCCCACCCACATGATCAAAGATGATCTCCTTATTTAAAATCAATTGATTGTAAATGTTAATCACATCTACAAAGTACCTTCACAGCAACATCTATACTAGTGTTTGACCAAACAGCTGGGCACCATAGCCTAAATGTTGACACATGAAATTAACCGTGCCATGGAGAAAAGTCCTCAGGGTTCTCACTCCAATAGTACGCACTTTCACGGAAAGTACATATGCACTTTCACAAATATTTATAGCAGGCCTGCCATGGATCAGGCACTAAGGATAAAGCAGTGAACAAGAAAGACATGGTCCATGCCTTTGTGGAGTTTATATATTCCAACTCAGTGTGTCCAAAATGGAATTCATGAGCATTTCCCCTCCCTCCTCAAAAAAATAATCTATGCCTCTTCTGATGTTCGCCTTCTGAGTGAGTGACACTATCCAGCTGCACAAGTCCAAAAGAGTGAGTAGGCATCTTTGACAACTTATTCTCCCTTACCCCCATAGACAGTGCATCACCAAGTCTTGAAAAGCTGACCTTCTAAATGTGTCTCAAATCCATCCATCCATTTTCACTGCCATCACCTGTTCCTTGCTACCATTCTCTCTCACCTGGACACCTGCAGTAACTCCAGACTGGTTTATCTGGACCTTCAATCTAATATATTCCTACACTGTCCCTTGTGTGATCTTTTTGAAACCCAAATCTGATCATATCACCCTTGGCCTTGCTTAAAAACTTTAAGTGGCACCCACTGCTCTCAGGTTAAAGACCAAACTCGTTTTTTTTTTGTGTGTGTGGAGAAGATCAGCCCTGAGCTAACATCCATGCCAATCCTCCTCTTTTTGCAGAGGAAGACTGGCCCTGAGCTAACATGTATTGCCAATCCTCCTCCTTTTTCTCCCCAAAGCCCCAGTAGATAGTTGTATGTCATAGTTGCACATCCTTCTAGTTGCTGTATGTGGGACGCGGCCTCAGCATGGCCGGACAAGCGGTGCATCGCTGTGCACCCAGGATCCAAACCTGGGCCGCCAGTAGCGGAGCACATGCACTTAACCACTAAGCCACGGGGCCAGCCCCAAGACCAAACTCTTTAGCATGGCTTATGAGGCCCTGCATGGTCTGGCCTCTGCTTCCTCCCATTTGCTCTTTCCACTCTAGCCACATGGGCTGCTTCCAGTTCTTCATCTGTACCATGCACCTTCCTGCCCCAAGGCTTTTGTACATGCTGTTGCTTCTGCCTGAAACCCTTTTCTCTATCCCATCTAGTTAGTTCTTCCTCCCATCAGATCTGGGGGAAATCATTGCTTCCTCAGGATCCTCAGAGAACCTCTCTGTCTATACCTTTTGGCATTGGGTACCCGTCTCTTGTAGGACTAATCACAGTTATAACCTTACTGTTCTATGTGAGATCATTTGACCAATATCAGCCTACCCTGTTAGACTAGAAGTTCTG